CCAATAAAAAAAATTCAGTCAGTCAGTGGAAAAAGCAGTTCTTCATCTTTAAATTCGGCTCCTGCAGTAGAGTATCAAAATTCAGATGTTACTTTGAAGAATATGCCGTTTGTATTTTTTGCGAAACGCCATATTCTGAAGATGTCTGAAGAGGCGAACAATGGGTGATGGTCAGGGCTGTTTTAAATAGGCTCACGTTGAATGTTCTGTGTGTGAAAGAGTCCGGTATATTTGCGCTATTCTGCTCTGATAAATAGATTTATTGTGTGTTTTCTTGGATAACTAGATTTTTAATTTATTTAAGAAAAATACCTATTTGTTACATGTATTTTTATGTAATTTTCATAAATAAATAGTTTTTATCAAAAAAAAAACAAAATAATTGAAATTATTTTGAAATTTTACAATGTAAATGTGATTTTAACACATGGTTTCATATAAATAACGGGAATTTTCATTGAGGAAAGGAAGTCGCGCTAGCGTTTTAATGTAACGCACGTATAGATAAATTATGTAATTATTAGTCAAATAAATTGTACAGTGGTTTAATAAATTGATATAAATTATCGTGTTTTAGTAAATTAAAATAAGAACAATAAATTAGAATTAATAGAAACATTATAATATTTAACGCACGAAAAGAGGCATCATATAAGCGCTATTGAAGGTTATAGTGGAAGACGATACACAGTATCGCGTACAGAATGCTACGTAATTTTTTACATATTATGTGTAGCACAGGTAGCAAAATTAATCTTTTTATAAGCTATAAATACCAACAGAACCATAAGTACACTAATGATTGTTAAAATAAACTACGGAACAAGCATTTTTAAGGCATGGAACAAAAACTTAAAATTTCGAAAATATTATACAAAAACATGAAGCAATAACTTGTATTTAATACAACACAATAAATACATGAATGGTTTCTATTAGTAATAAAAATAAAAGGCAGCAGGTATGATTAATACAAATTACATCAATCAATTTATAACGATTTTTAGTTCGATTCGACGATCTTTAGGTCAGGTACGGTACCAAAAGAACCGTGCCTGACCTAAAGATCGGTAAAGGCGGTACCTATTTGAAACTATCACTGTATTAGAAAGTAAACAAACTATAAAGCATATATTTTACGTCTTAAGACGCTTAGTTTGCCATCAAAGTGAACGTTTTTAGTTAATTTATGATAATGGAGAAAATTAGTTATTTGTAGTGACACAATACTTTTATTTGAAAGGCCTCATCCCAACCAATATAACAGCTGAACTGGATTCTACTCCGGTTGAGTGGTTTTTTCGTTTACAAGAGTAAAATTTGCAGTAGAGGAAGAAAATCCACAAGTTTAGCAAAGTTTCACAGCAACAAAGCAGAATCTTTGCAACCACGGATGAAACATTGGAGTTAAGACAAAAGAACAATCAAAACAATCGATTCAAAGGGATTCAAAGAAGGCGGTAGATAAGCGAAGTATTTTCTGGCCATCCCCTAAATTGCAATCCCCGATCGTAATTTCCAAACGGCTTAATGTCGGATGACGTGTAAGATATCGTTAAAAAGGGGATGAAAAATAGGGTTGAATGCACTATACGACGTGTGTATTGTAGCATACCAAAAGAGCATTACATGATATCTCTGGTACTATTGGTCCGATAGTGACGTACGAGACGTCAAATGAAAGGTGATTGGAGGTAGATGAATTCAACTTCATCTTTCATCACCTTTTCAAAGATACCTAAACCGTAATCCTATGTTGAGCCTTAGGCGCTACAAACTTATTGCCCCTTTTTTCTGTTAAAAATTCATTTACGTTCAACCCCCTTTCATTTGACGCCTCGTAAATCACGATCGGACCAATAACAGCAGAGATATCATGCAATGCCCTTTTGGAATGCTGCAATACACACGTCCTATATTGGACTCAACTAAATTTTCATCCCCTTTTCAACGATACCTCATAGTTTCCATCCTACGTTAAGCCATTTAGGCACTACAACCTTAATGACCCTTTGGCATGCTGCAATACACATGAAGTATAGTGCATTCAAACCCCATTTTTCATCCCCTTTTCAAAGATACTTCACACGTCATCCTACGTTAAGTCGTTTGACAAAAGTTTTAGGGGTTGGCCAGAACATACTTTGCTTATCTACTGCAGGCAAATTCTTGGCTTCGGTTTTTGAGACTTATCTTAAAAAAGGAAAAACTATCAACGGCAAGTATAGTGCCAACTTATTGTCGCGTTTAAATGAAGTGCATCAGCTCACAGATCTGTTATTGCAATGGTCAAAATTCATGAATTAAAGTTTGAATTGCTACTTCATGGACCCTACTAGCCAGATTTAGCCTCGGTTTTCCAACCATTTGGCATTTGGAAGAAGTGATTTTGGCAGTTAATGCCTATTTTGGGGAGCAAGACAGTTCTTATTATAAAAGGAGTATCGATCTTATGGACATCGATTGGTAAAGTAACCTAGAGCTAAAAGATTATATTAAAAAATAAAGAAGTGTTTTCTGTGTTGGGTCGGGTATTTCTAGGACCACCCACGCATACAAAATGTAGATCGAAAGTTATCGCGTTCAATTTTTAAAATCGAGAATGCTGAATAAGTAATACCTATGATAAAAAAAATTGTTAAAAATTTATTGAAATTAAAAATACCATTTTGTGCAAAATATTCAACAACTGTGTTAATTGACGAAAAATATTTTATTAGCGAACAAAATTTTACATAGTAAAAAAAACAGTTTCCTCGTTAAATATAATAAGAGAAAGAGTATAACATTAATACCTTTTATATTATATACACTAATGCATACTTTAAGGACTGAACACAAAATCTACTAACTGATCAATTTTTATACATTAATCGAACATTTCTATACTACTAAACTACAAACAAATTAAAAACATACAAGAAAGTATTTAATTTTCAACTGATTTCGGTCTAAATATTTTAATTTAAAAAGACAAGGCTACAAACTTAATAAAACGAAGCGGGAAATAAAACTACAGTAAAATAAACAAAAAACATATAACAGAAAAAAAACATTTATTCTTCATATCAGTGTCTACGAGTCCCTTTCCATATCAGTTGGCTCATCTATGGAATTTGTAGTAATGGAGTAGTATGGAAGTCGTTTACCATAAACAAATTTTACTCTGCATGTTTTTGTAAGTTCTCATATGGCATTTTTATTAATATTTACTAAAAACAGTTCCCTTATGGTTTTTTATTTATTTTCATCGATAAAAAAACCACTAAACCCTGGCTAGACATTCACTTATGTCAAAATACGTCGATTTTTCCATAATTACGTTAAATCCAGAGGTAGCTATGGAAAAATGACTTCAAAACAATAATATTGTCAGTTAACCTCAAATGAATTTTGTAGTATTGTAAAGCTTCGATAAAGAGGTAAAGTTATCGATGAGAAAATTTTCGGAAATCGCCAATATGTTGCAATTGTCACTCTATAGTGTAAGAAATATAGTCTGAAATAAATAACTACAGGTTTGGTCGTCACAAAACCTAGAAATGTACGAAAAAGTAAAATAACCGAAGCAAATGGAAGGGCATTAAGATGCATTATAGTAAAAAAACGTCGAGCAAATTATATGGAGTTAAGCTTTTTATGGAGTGACCTTATTGGAATACACGTTTGTAATCCAACGATTTGGTACTTACCAAGTAAGTTTTATAGGTGAAAAAATTAGTACGATATTGTTTTCAATAAATTTCATTTTATTTTAGACTAAAAGCCACTTTACCATTACAACAAAAGAAAAATAGACTAAGATGGTCAAAAGAGAATAAAGATTGGACTCAGTCGCAATGGGATTCAATACAATGGAGTGATAAGTCCAGATTTGAAGTATGTGTTGGAAATAGTGGGAGTCGCGTCATTCGCAGGAAAAATGAAGCTTTCCATCCAGACTGTCTGAATAGAAAAGTCAAATTTCCTGTATTTGTCATGATCTAAGGCAGCATGTCGTCTAAAGGTATGGGAAAGTTACATTTTATCGATGGGATTGTAAACACGGACAAATATTTGAATATTTCAGAAGAATATCTTTTACCGATTATGAAACATCATTTAACATCAGCAGAAAATTTTGTCTTCCGCTGATGTTAAATGAGAGGAAGACTTCCTGTAAAAGGACGGCATAGGCTGTCATACCTCAAAAAGAGTTTAAAATGGATTGAAGATTATGCCCTACCACTTCTGGAATGGGTTTTTAACAGTCCTAACTTGTCCCCGGTAGAGACTTTGTGGCGCGAAATGAAAAAAGCTTTGAGAAAACATCCTGCCAGGTCCGTTAGCGAACTGAAGGAAAAATTGCAAGAAATATTTGATTCGTTTACATTAGAATTTTGGCAGAACTTGGTAAAAACTATGCCTCGAAGAATTGTGCATTGTCTTAAACATAAAGGGGATGTAACTCAGTGGTAATCTTCTACAATTTACGCTGCGCTTGTCTTTTTGTTCTCTAAAATTTAACTTTCTTATCAATCTATCGTTGGTCCAACTGATTTGGAAAGAGACTCGTACAGTAGTAGGAAAGGACCAAATATTACTCAATAAATTGTTTTTTTTTATTCGTTTTTTACTATTAATTTCACTGTATATTTTTAAAGTTTATCAAAGTCGACACAAAGGCATAACATTAGACAGGGAATATAATTTTATTTATAGTTTTAGATTTCCTTAAACGAGTTTAGAAGATTCATGATGATGAAATTGGGTCGAAACTTTTTTTGACGTTACTGAAGTGATTTTGATTACAAAAATATTATGTATATACATTATTTTTTCGTTATATTTAAATGGTAGTTAATTCAGATATTTACATTGTGTTCAAACCTTAATTTCCCATAAAAACTTCCCCCAAAAGAAGAAAAATGTACACTTTAATACAAAAATGTATTCAAAAACGAAATATATATCAAATATAAATAAAACTTTGTAGAAGCATGTACAAAATGAGATTTAATTCAAAACATTGCAGCGTCGTAACCCATCCAATCTCCAGAATCGTTCAAGGAGGCATTTTCCTTATTTTCAGTATTGTTGTTCCATACTGCTCGTTTTACACTAACATAATCAGCACTATTTACAGTTTGGCTCCGATAAAAATTCACCTTGTTACTTAAAATTGTAGTGACTTGTTTTTTCTCTACGTTCACACAAGTATCATCTCCTTGTTTTTGCGTCTGAGCCAAAGTGGGATTATCATCAACAACTGATTCGAATTGTTCTTGAGTTAGAGAAGTGTTAAATAAATTTAGACAAGGTTCTTCAGGTATAGGGTGCAACACTCCGTTATCGATCAAGTCAACAGGAGGTCTCAAAGGAATATCATCAATATTAACAATTTTTCTACCAGGTTGCGTATTTTTGCTGGGTGTAGCAGGAGACAAAGAAATCCAAAATATTTCAGAGCCCGACTTTGACAACGTCTGTTGGTGAAAAGTATTCACTTCGAATGAGTCAACGTTGTCATTTATATCTCTTCTTTTCAGCTTTGGTGTAGATTGAGATTTAAGATCATTATTCGCAATTAAATTCTGACTAAAGTTGCTAAATTGCGCTGAGTCGATGTTGTCAAAGAAATGATCCAAAATATCATTCAAAAATTCTGAAATAGTAAAGATCTTATCGGAAACTGTGTTCGAAGCTACTGAATCTCCAGAATTATTTAACTTTTCCTCCAGTTCCAGTCTATTTAGAACTGATGAAGCTAATGAGATTCTTAGTTCATTTTTATCGTCACATAATTGGTCCTTAAAAGCTTCATAATAAATTAATTTCATTTTATTAAGAAGTTTATGCAAGTTAGAATCGTGCAGAACCTCTGGAAACAGAATGAGCTCTTTAACCTCCATACACTGCTGTATTAAATAGTCCACTATCAGTTGTGTCAAATCGTGAACACACTCATGCCGATTTTTTTCCAAAACAGTTATATTTTCGTTATTATCGTCGGTACTGAATGTTTTGTTTGTAAGAGTACAATCCTCAATTCCTTCATCAGAAGTTTCTTTGACAAGATATCTGTCGTTAGGAATTTTCATTAAAATATCTTTGGCTTCACTTAAGAAGTCTCCTGTCATTATAAATGCTTGCTTGACTGTATCGACAAAGATTTCTACAGTTTCCGAAGTGGTACAGCTGTCTGTATTAGTCACAATTTCTGATGACTCTGTGATTGTTTCGGCAAAACTGTCATTCTCAAATTGATCATTTTCGTCGTACTGAACATAAATACTAGAACAACTTTCTGGATTTAACGTGCTTTCTGATAATTCTGCAGTTACTGCAACCGAACGTTGGTTCCCATGTGGACCATCTTCATTTAAAACAGTAGAATTCGAGGAACTGCTTTCTATATTTAACATCACTTCCTGTAACTCTGCTGTTACTTCAACCAAACTTTCATTATCGCATTGATCATTTTCATCGAACTCAATAATATCCCTTCTGGTAGATTCACAGTCTTGCATTTTGGTATTGTTTAAAGACTCATACTCAGAATCAGAGCTTTCGTTTAAATCTTCAAGCATCTGCTCGTGCATATTCACCAAAATGTTTCTCTCGAATGAATTCGTTTGGTCGGGTTCTGTCAAACATGTTCTATATTGACTAATATACAAAGGAGTATAATTCACTACATTTAGATAGCTGGTTTGTGAGGCTTGTTCCCTGATCATAGGAACATTTCTTGAATTTAAAGCTGATGCGAACGGAACAATAAAACCCTCCAAAGTACTGAAAGGCATGTTTACAGATATGCACCTAGAATTATCGAGGTTAACGACAACAGAATGAGAATCCGAAGATCTATAATTAGCAGTGAAAGATATCTTTACAGGACGCTGTCTAACAGCGATCTGACTTTCCCTGACTATGTGGAAATGCAAGGGATTAGGCTCCAAAAATGATCCTTTGGGAAAACCTGCATAGTTGTTAGTTCTATATAGTTCCCTTCGAGTTCCTCCTGAAAACAGTGCTTATTCAGGAAAATTGCAAATTTATCAGTATTTTTAAATACCTGAAAAACAGCTAGCGAAGGAATAAACAAAAAATTCTTTTCCAATGAAGAACAAAAAAAAAGCGTTAGTCTACAATTGTTTTTAATAAAAATGATGCCAATCTGGTAGTAAACAAATATAAGTTTGTACAAATCCAATAATTTTATTATAAGTAGAACCCTCAAATCACTGAAAATATAATACTATTAATCTTTTTTTGAATCCGTACCCAATTCGGGCTAAGTATTCTCCTCTGATATAACTGTGGTGTCAGTGTATACAAATATACCGGATTTACAGTTTAAAGCCGATTTCGAAGGACCAATGCGTTGTAGAAATAGTATCTTTTGCTTGAGACGATCGCATTGAATCATAGATTGGAGATAGTTTCAAACAACTGGTCCTCACAAAGCAGTCAACTCTGACTACGCACCACACACCGACAACTACATAGACCCGCTAAGCAAGTGTGTGTAACCCAACCTGGTCCGGAAATTCGATAAATTTTTATGGAATCCTAGACCGGCTTATGATTGAATACTAGGAAGCGAGACTCATGCACCTTCACTGGTTTCTATATTACTATTAAAAAGCAACGAGAAACCCCTCATTAACATTCCATGGTCTAGTGATCATAGATGTTGAAAACCATATACAGAAAGTCGGAAAGCAGCCACAAACAGAACGCAGGGTCTCTCAGGCCGTTACTAAGCGAAACCGTTATGAAATGTTCATTAACAATGCAGGGAAGAGAAGTGATAGACTCGAAATAAAAAAAATTATATCTATTCATCAACAATATATATATATATAGAAACTCTTTTAGATCAATTAAACAATATAGTGAAACTAGTGAAACATTTTATCCGTCATCCAGCAATTTTTCTATTAGATATTTACCTCAAATGTCATTAAAGATTCAGGTCAAAATTCTTCACTATTCTATCTACATTATTTGCCTTTGCTCTGCCAATTCTTCATCAATAGAAGCGGTGCCACTGTTTCTTTTGAATATTTTCATTGGTTATTATTATGTTTCCAAGTTGGGCTTGGTTTAGTCTTCGTGGTGGTAATTTGAAGAATATCCAAGAGAAGTGACTAGAATGGGTCGAAATAGACAGCAAGGACACATAAAAGACACAAAAAGAGTACTACTAATAGATTTACCAGAGAAATTACGACGATGGGAGGAGTACGTTAGAGAATATTTCCAAGATGAAATGAAGAAAATACAAGAATTAAATCATTTAGAGAGACAGAAGATCACGATAGATGAAATCAAATATGCTATCAAAACTCTACAGATAAGATTAGATGAAATACCAGTAGACCTGCTAAAACTAGGGGAAGAGGATAACTTGGAAGTATTGGCAGATTTATTCAACACGGTGTACGATACGGGAATAATACCACAAGAGTGGCTGAAGTCAGCATTTATAACCATCCCTAAAAAACCAGTAGCAAAAGAGTGCTCTGACTATCGAACACTAAGTCTCATGAATTCGTGTTCCGAAATGGAATGGGGACTCGAGTAGGACTATTTGCCATCAACATATTGACTCAGCGATGTCCAGATATAAACGTTTATCTACACTTATGCTTTGTTGACTACGAAAAAGCTTTCGATAAAGTAAGACATGAAAAACTAATATCAATACTTCTTATGAACAAGCGCATTAACAGCAAAATCATAAATTTAGTGCAAACATTATATTGGCACCAAAGTGCCATAGTTTAAATTCATGGGAAACACTCTGAAGAAATGAAGATCTGTAGAGGAGTTAGACAGGGATGTGTTTTGTCGCCACTTTTGTTTAACTTATATTCTGAAGAAATTTTTCAAAACACGCTCAATAATATCAAAGCGGGAGTTACCGTTAACGGAAAATTAATTAACAACTTACGATATGCAGACGACAGTGTGATCACAGAAACATAACATCATAGAAGATTTACATCTTATCGAAAGCTTAAGTATGACTAGTGCTGAGATGGGAATTACTATAAACGCTAAAAAAATGCTATAAAATAATAAATTCTCCAACATTACATTATTACAAACCTTCTCGGTATGGTCAATTCAGTTGCATACTGCCTCTATGCATTTATATAGCGAAAGACATAAGGAATTTATATCCACCAAATTTCAGGGTGGCTCACGTGGTAAAACAATACTTTCAGAGTAAATCTCGGGTTTATGATCTACCTATTTTATATTCTTTTATTTGTTTACTGTCCAATTTCATTGTATTAGTTACAACATAAAACCATAACATTTCTACCAAATACGCATGCATTCAATGTTTATAAGAATAAAATTACCTACCATCCCTCTTAAACTATTATAAATAACGCAGGAAGCCGAAGAAGAGCAAAGCGTTTTCAAAATGCAAGTTCAGTGCCAAGCCTAAGCGTTGCTTTAAAATAATTTGGAGTTTATTAAGAACGTAACATTGATAGTATTCATGATATCTGTAAAGACCCAATATCAAAAAAATGATTAATATGTAAAGGATATTTCGATTATATGTAGGTAAAATACATCAAATCAAACGGTTTTTGTTGAAGTGAGTTTTGCTAAAAAATTTAATAGTATGTACTGGCGAATACATTTAAGAGACCTGACAAACCTATTTTGTTTTATTTCAACTGGTTTTGAGTAAAGCAAAAACTGCTGTGTATATTTCCTTAAAAAATAAATGTACGAGGATAGATTGATATTAAACTAGCCTATGATAGATGGCGCTACTTGATACAGAATTGGTTTCGGTGTTGATATTTGCCATTCACGACATGACGTCTGTCAAAATTTTAAGTTTTAAAAACAATTAAGTTTGGTTAACAAAAGAATAACTAACAAAAATAATTTTAGAGGCTACGATAGCGTCCAGACATTTTGTACACACTTAAGTTGCTTTTAAATATACTGACAACAACAAAATTGGTTTTTTATTCATATTTAGTTTCAAACGACTGTTTGTCGAGTTTTGCAGGCAAAACAATGTAATTGTCACTGATGGCTAAAATTATCAACAGAACTTTCTTAAAATCATCATTGCTACATTCTTAATAATCCAGGTTTATACAATTTCATCCTAAGTTTTAGGATCGTGAAAAATTCGTAAAAGGAACATCCTAGGTTACCTGATTTGAAACTACTTACCCCTATAACTATTTGCAGAGACACGCTCGGCTTTAAGGAAGTTTTCTATGGGGGAACTTTCAACTACACATGCAAAAAATAAAATAAAATGTCAAACATGCTTCAAAATAACACAAAAAACTTGAGACATGCTGGTATATTTGACGAATTGAATTACAACAAATGTTTAATAATTGTTCGAAATTAAAAATACTTAAAAACGACGTGACACATGCATAAGATGCTACATTTGGTAATTCACAAACATCAAATAACATTCGTGGCATATCCAAAAGCTCTTCATAAAGATGTCATAACCAAAAGTATTCAAAAAGTTCTAATTGTTTAAATATATACAGTTTGGGGATCATATCACTTGCTGGTTTCAATCCAGAACATAATCACTAAAGGTACTTTAGTGATTATGTTCTGGATAATCATTAAATAAAACAAAACATACAAAAAGTTGATCAAATATCTATATAAATATAAGTGAGGTTAGATATATTTTTCTTTCTACACGTAATTTGACAGGTTACATAAAAAAAGATATGCACTGACTTCCAAAAGGCATTTGATCGTGTTAAGTACTGTATATTGATCGAAGTTCTAAGACACAAATGTGTATTGAAATCAAACATCAGTTTTAGTAGACGGTTTGGACACAGGCTTCTAATATTAAAAGAGGAGTACGACAGGTGTGGCTCTTATCGCCCCTGCCTTTCAACATTTACTCCGAAAGAATATTCAGAAACGTCTTCGTCACTTGACACTGAGGAGTCGGCAGATTGAGTCGGTGCTTTAAACGCCTGCAGTTCGGTCATAGTAAAATCGACTGCAAGGGAGAAAACAGAACAGAAGCAAAGAGGGTTACCAAGCACGAGAATTCAGCAATCGGAGGCTTTTTGCCTCACTTGTAAAGAATCCGGGCACAAAGCCGACAGCTTACGATGCCCGAAGTAAAGAAAACTCATCCTGGATAAACGGAAGCTCAAGAGAGACCCTATCAGAAGGGAGGAGGAAAGAGTGGTGAAAGTACTAAGGACAAAGAATCAGACAGCGTACGGGTAGGTATGTTAAAGAGATAAGACCCATTTATTACGAAATCTGACGTGGATGTATACGTAGTGAATCGAAGAGTTGGCATTACCAGACACAACTGCTTGAACAACAATGTTTGAAAGAAGCTAAAGTTGTCCTTATCCCGAAAGATAGATGTGAAGAGGAAGAGGTGCGATTTCGGCCAATTTACCTTCTTAGTTACGCAGGATACAAAGAGATGGGTGGCTCTCATCCTGCTTGACGTCCAGAATGCCTTTAATACGTCATCATGGGAAAAATCATGTCCAGGCTGAGAGAATTGGACCTGGTCAACGTAATTGACAGATACTTTACTGACAGGTCCATAAGAGAAAAAGATATCAGCATCAGTTTGTCGCAGGGTTCAGTACTAGGTCCCATCTTGTGTAATGTCCTGTACGACGAGGTTTTGAGGCTACAGATGCCAAGGGTAGCTTGGCATCTCTTGTAGCGTATGCCGATGATCTCGCACTGGTTGCGAAGGCAAGTCAGAAAATGGACATGGCTAATACGGCTAACACAGCCCTGCGTCGCATTAGTAGATGGATCAGAGAAAACGATCTACAACTAGCGCCTCAGAAAACTGAGGTGTTACTTATCAAAAGGAGCCGGGAAAAATCCTCTCTTCGCTTTATAGTGAAAGGTGTGGAGGTTGCACGGGTTAAATCGATTAAGTATTTGGGAGTCTGGTTGTCGGAAGGACTAAGGTTCGAAGTACACTTCCAAAAGACGGTAGAGAAGACGAACCGAAATCTGGAGGCGTTGATATGGCTGATGCCAAACATTGCAGGCACAGGTAGCATCAAAAGAAAGGTGCTAAATGGAGTTTTCCAATGGGCGAATGATAGCGGAAAGACAAGACAGACCGATCTGAGACCGTGGTGGGAATGTAAGTTCAGGAAACTAGAATACTTCCTGACGCAGCTTCTGACCAGATATGGTAGTTTTGGCACCTTCACAAATAGAATAGGCAAATCTGCCTCGACAGATTGTACTGTTTGTGGGGTACCGGACGCTCACGCCCACATTTTTAACTGCCAGAGATGGGCAAATGAGAGGAGAGATTTCGAGGATTTTTCGAAGATTGAGGCCTCAGTGCTGTTGTGTGATTGAGCCTCAGTGTGCTGAAAGAACGTAAGATTGTGCTCAATGTGATCTTGTTTCTAGTATCACTTCAGTTTTCTTGTTTATGTAGTAGTTTTTTGCTAGATATATTTATAAACTTGTTTTATAGAGCATTATGTAAGACCAAACTGTATATATTTAAAGCTTATATTTGAGAAATAATGTTAAAAATAACTAACTCTATTGTATGTGAATATATTGTATATATACGTTCTCGTAAATTTCTATTCTAAAATTATGATCAAACTCTCACACTGCGTCGTGTATAAAACAATCTATAAAAATGAAAAAATGACCTTTCCTATAATGTTCACTTACCCCCCTTCCGTCAATTATTATCAATATCTGATACCGAAAAAAACACACAGTTATCTTAATATTCATATCTAAATGAAAAGCTCTCTTCAAACTATATAAGCTAACACACAAATAACCCTTATCATACTCGTATAAGCTGTGAACTTACCATCGCTTAATACAACTTCTGGTTGACTAGGTTTGGGAACGGTCTTCGTTTCTATCCGTAAGATTTGAGGTTCTGCAATATAAAATAAATACTTTAAAGTGGTCAACAACACAAAACTGTTGGAAGAAAATTTATAGAAATCTAAAAAAGCGCACCATGATCCACCTAAAGTCGCTAAGAGGGTAATTTGACATTTATCTACCCTTCGATAGATTGTGTTAAAATAAAAACTTCTCACAGTTTTGATCTGCCGTTAAGCTTACAATGTATGTCAACATTTACCGAAAAAAACAATCAATTTGGTTTTAATAGACATCGAAGAAACTTGTACTTTTGGTGAATATTGTTCAAATATTGAATACATAACGTTTTACTATGAATTTACACCATATATTAGCAACAGTAAAATGTTATGTAAATGTTACTATGTTTTAAGAAGACAGAAGACCAAGAAAAATTAAAGTGGCCATATACAAAGCGTTAATAAGACTTAAACTTGAAGAAAACGACTAAGAAATCCTTAAACGTTTCTGGCGAAAAATCCTAAGAAGAAAAAATCCTAAGAAGAATATATGAAGGAATAAAATAGAATGGTTCAGTTGTATAGAAGTTTTGGGGAACCTGATGTAAAATTATTAAAGTAGAACCGTTTAGCTGGATAGATCAGGCGAGAGAAGGGTACAACCGTCAGAAAAATTTTTGATTGAAGATCGATGAGACAACGGGCTATAGAAAGATCGAGACTTGTGTATATCGAATCTTGCCAACAAATAACATTTTACAATCTTTACCAGGTTATGTAAACATCAAATCCTCGAAGCAAGCTTTGAAGATAGTTCTAATGTCTTTTTTTAAATCAAAACATAGAAAAAGATCGCTTGCAACAATTGGAAGTACCAATCACAGCCAGAGTATTCATTTTAAGAAAGCATAGACATGGTCGAGGCAATGAAGCAGTAAAATGCCCAAAACCTACCATATTTTTGCAATAGGATGGATCTCAATGAAACATTTTGCAATAGATTCGTATAAATGTCAGGAAATTTTGTGAACAAAAATGATGATGTGGAAATGTTAATTGTATTATTGAACAAGGAATATACAATTTTAAAAGTGCATTTTAACGCGATGAAAAATAATTGACGGAAATGAGTTCAATATTTTTACTAGGAAGTTTTTTGATCGCTGATCATGAATATCATGGCGTTGATAATCTCCGATGCGCCTGCTGCACGGGACGGCTCCGTTTTCTGGAGTTTTTTGTAAATTCGATACAAGATTAGTGCAAATCCATTACTCAGTGCTTTTTGGGGTCGATGAATACTTATATCACGTCGGCGATGATGTGCGAGGTACCTGGTAGCCAGGGCTTCCTCGGCTCCTAGAGTTTTGTCGAAATTCAATACAAAATCAGTACAAACCCATTACTCGGTGGTTTTTGGGGTCGGCTATAGTTTGTGAGGCACCTGGGGCCTTGACTTCAGGAATTTTGTGTAAATTCCATGCAAAATCAGTGTTTGGTGTCTGTGAACACTAATATCATGTATGCGATAGTGTCCGAGGAACCATATGCTCAGCAGAGGGCATGTTTCTTGGTGTCTGTGCATGAGAGACCACTACCGTTATGATATTCGTGATCAGCGACCCCAAAATCCCCGGAAAAGTGGCCCGTCGTAAACACCAGATACATCAAAGACCATCTAACTACCCAATACTGAACGTGGTGTTCCTGGAAACAGTTGAAAAAAAAAAGAAAAGAACGTGGTGGAAATGTTAGAAGAGACATGGCTGTAAAGAATATTAATATTTGTATTACCAATGATATAAATGTATGTAGAAAAGTGGACATCGCATAAAGGAAAAATGTAAAGTGATTTATGATAATTCATCTGTATTGATGTTTGATTGAAGTTGTAAATATTTGATAAAATGTAACTATATAAATACATACGTAAGATTTTATTTCTTAATTATTTGACGGACATAAAAATCGTCACTTACCATCTCTACTTTCTTCCTCTGTCTCACTAGTAACAGAAGTTGGAGACCTAATTTGCATATCTTCAATTCTTTTGTTCAAAGCTGCAGACGAAAGGCCTTCTGATTCACTGTAGTCAGTGTCATCTAAAACAATAATCATTGTTATTTAAATTATTTGAAAACCTAACTTACATGCTGCTGTAGGTGTCAAGATATCAAATCAAAATTCATATCAAAATATGAAATCAGCAATTTACCTTATATGTTTACAAATTACTGTGTAATAACAAATCATATTTGCATTGTTTACTGTGACTCCAGAAATGTATGTAATAGATAAATTATGAACATTTTCATGAGGTATTTTTTTTTTAATTATCGCTGTAGATCAATAGAACAACAATTTGTCGATGAACTAGCTTCGATTTTTGTTGATGAAACAGCATGTGACTCTAGTATTTCATTACAATGGTTCTACAGATTTCCTGAAGATATTCATGGTCGTACATCGATTTACGACGACTTTCAGAAGATCGTGAATTACATGATCCACATAAACAATGGTATTTTGATGCAATTTCTTACAGGTACTTAAGGTTGATTTGCACCTTCAAGTAATTTGTTTCTGGTCCTAGAAATGGCTCTACTGCGGCATGCTGCTGTGGTAAAATTTTAAACTTAATTGTAGATTTCTACATGATGACTCTGTAATATTTTCAAACCTTAACATAAATTACAGTTTTCTACCGTTGTATCCATTGGCTGAGTTGCCAACTTTATTAGACCAAGTAAACGAAGATATCTTTTACATAAAATCTTAATGTATAATATTTTACTGCTCTGCTGTGTCAATAAGAATATAATATATGGTATTCATACAGTGAATTTGTTAACAAACAATTAAATCATGAATTTGTGCTTGTGTGAGTCCATTTCAAATAGGTAAAGAAATAATAAATCAGACTTACTCACAATCAATTTAATTTAACTATCCGACGACCGGTTTCGCTTTCTACAATATGCAAAGCATCTTCAGGTCTCGGTACAAAGTTAAACAAATGATGCCGGTACTCTATTAATAGATGGATGGTAGAACATGTTTGAAACTACTGTATATTGTTGAATGGAGAAACTCAATTCAACAGTTGAGTTGAGTCATTGAGTCAAAATTGATTCAAACATATGAAAAACTACAGTGATCTTTAGGGTGAGTATTTTGAAAAACAATTATTCAATTAGCGATGACAAATATTTGTTGTTTCACTTGTGTATAATATAAACTGAATAATAAAAGAAGTATATACTTACATTCACCCTTAGCTTTCTTTTCTACGACTTTCTTATATTCGTTGAGTTCTTCGTCTGTGATGCTATCGAAAGGATTCTTGGCGTAAGGCGATTTGTATACCATGGCGTTGTGTTGGTGCCCTCTCTGGATAATGCCCTTCGACGCGGCTCCCATTAGCACTACGTGATCGCCTGTTTGAGTCACTGTGGCGTCCTGCATTTTTTTAGCTTCCTCCCACGTTACGCCTTCCAAGATGTGGGATTGAGGACCGGCAGATATTTTGTCTGCTCGTCTGTAATCTTTGATCTTTGGACAAAAATAGAGTCATATTAGATGTATTAAATAATCGAAAAACTTAAGATATATAACCGAAGATATGAAGAGCATTAAAACGCTTAGTAACAAACTTCGAAGCAAAAAGTCAGTCTATGGATAAAACTTTAATCTGTTAACGCTATTAAAATTTAAATCTATCTGGCATTAATAAAAAATTTCTTGTAGTTCGTTAACAAAATGAACTACCCTCAGGATCTAAAAATTTAGCACTTTTTTTCTGAAACTTTTTATGTATAGGCAATTTGTCAAGAACTGAGGTTTTTATACCTGGCATGCTTGTTTCCTATTATTTGCCTATGTACAATATTATGTCATACAAGAACATACATACATTCTCGCTGAGAATGAGACAACGCAGGAAGATTGATAAGTTAACAAGTGACACATTTGGTGCCCAACGTGGGGCACCACATTTGATCCCAAAGCCATTATATTGTGGTGAATTTCTCTTTGCCTTATTTGTTGAAATGAAACAACAGAGTCTACGCACTAATATTTCTTAGTTTTTTACCAAATGGCTTTGGTTTTGTTTTCGTATTTCAAAAATAAACTTTGAGAAGTATTTATTGAAGCCGTGAAAAATTATTGACTTATTTAACATACATTTCAAAGATTCCTGTTCTAGAGAGTGAAAGAACTGCGTCAAAAATTGATTCAAATCTGTAGAAAAGCCTTTATCTTACATTGGATATATTTTGAAAATAAAATTCTGTAATCTTTGAGCTAAGATAAAAACTCAGTTCTTAGATGGGCACAGCATTACAGCGAACATCTAAATATAAACGATATGAATGTTACACATATAGAGGTAAAAACAATATAGAGGCATTACTCTGTTGGCATCTGCGTATAAAATCTTCGGCAATAAATTGGTTTTTACAAAGTAAAGTTTTATTTAACATTTTACAAAGGATATTATTCAATACCAATGCGGATTTACTGCTAGAAAGTCAACTACACATCAAATTCAAGCATATAAGACAGATTCTAGAAAAGTCACTAGAATATAACATAGATTCACACCATCTCTTAGTCGACTTCAAAGCAGCCTATGACAGTGTGTAAAGACTGCATTTGGCAGCCCAACTAAGTTAGTTAAATTGACCCAACTAACAATGCAAAACGTAAGCTCATGCGTTAGAATTAAAGGAGAAAACTTTAAGTTCTTTGACATTAATAATGGTCTAAGACAGGGGGGGGCGCACTGGCGTGTCTTCTCTTTAATATTGCCTTGGAAAAAGCAATCAGGCAATTAAATATTAGACGATATAGTTATAGGGGGCAAACTATGAGAGACATGATGCAGTGTTTTACAAGGCTTGCGGATGCGGTAAGTGAATTAGGACTTGGTGGTAAACGTGGTAAACGAAGATAAATTGATGATGTAGAAAAAGACCTACAAAGTCTAAGGGTCAGAAGATGAAGGGAAGTTCTCAGGAATCGACTTCTTTGTAAGCAGGCTAAAGCCACTTATGATGAATCTTTAAGCCTTGCACAAAAAGTTTATGTTAAACAAGCGGGAAAATGTTCTTGTATTGAAACTTTTAATGTACAGAGCAAGTCAGTAGATGATCAAGTCACTCAATCAATTCTGTTTTTAGATCTGACGTGTGTGATTTCTTTGTTTGGCTTTTTGTCTATTAACAGTTAATATAAAAACAGAAATAAATTATTGCTGCGCACTGAGCTAATGCAAGGATATACATAAGTTAACACGTAACGATTTTGGCGCCCAACGTGGAGCAACACATTTTGTCTCAACGGTATTGAAAGAATTGCTTTTATACCTGAACAACTCCAAAACTTGATTATCAGGATAATGTGAATCATTGTAGGAATGTTTTCGGACATTGTCAACATTTTTTAATATGGTATTTTTTTTAATCGTCCAAGAGAATGAACGAAATTTCAAAATCAAAACAGCAGCCTATGAGTAATAAAAATCCGTTTTCAATGACAGAAATGTTTTTTAAACGACACAATGTCGTAAGAGGGTAAAGTTTGAGTCAAACGTATTTGCTCTCCCAAACAAAACTTTTTGCTGGCACTTGGGCTTGCTACATATATGATTTGTTTGATAAAACATATTGTATTTTATTATAATATAAAAAATAAGACTTACCTGTTGTTGTTTTTGTTTGAATTCCTTTGGATTAGTACCTATGGGCACGAACTGAAGAGCCGATTCAATTTTAACGGGTGTGCTGCTTGAATGGCTGGGTGATCCTTCGGCTACCCACTGAAATAACAAAACCAGCACATTAGAATGTCGTTTATCGTTAAAATTATTAGTTCTTTGAAAATTATTCGAGTATATACAACGTCCGAAGTGTGCCAAAATGTTGCCCTTTGTCAAAAATGTTAGTAGAAAGCTTTATTTGTACAGAATATACATTAAATGTGCTGGTTTTGTTGACTTTTGTATTGATATGGAGCATGCCCTTATAATAGATACTTAGGCCAACATGAGGTTGTATAAATGTAGCAGACCACTCACACATTTTTGACAAAAACTAAAGTCAATTATCCATAAAAGTAAGTCAATTACAAATGTTCTATAAATATTAAAAAGTTAAATCAACTTTATTAGTACAAAAAAAAATAATACAAAACAAAAATCCCTAACACAGTTCGGAAAATGTCCACTGTATATTCATAGTGAGTTCAAATTTGTGATTTACCTAGTTTGAATTTATTTGTCTTATATAACGTTCGATTTTCTTCATTAAAAGTATAAAAATTAGTATGTCATTCAGAAATAATAATGTCAATACATTATTTGTCTTTGCAGGATATTATGAACGATTTAAAATTGACAAAAATAATACAAAACGTTTAATAACTTGAGCTCCATCATCCATATCATTACAAATTCGACAAGACACTTGGCACACTGAGTTTAGGACTGGTTAGCAGATTAGGATATAAACTCCTTGACAAAATTAACGCACCACTTTAATTAATGTAAATATTTACAATATGAACACAAAGTAAAACTAAGTTACATTGAAATAATAATAAACACCTACAAATAAGTCCAACGTGACTATCATGACCGTTAATTTGCCTTATTGTTTCTTTAAAAAATTTGTTTTTGCCGGAAATGCGTAAATAAGCTAGCATAACTCCAAATTGCAACAATAAAAACAGTAAAGTAACACAAAAAATGCATCTGGGTCAACACTAATACCGTGTAGGCCCTCCTCTACTTCTTATGACCACATCTAAGCGTGTGAGCTTGATATCAAATGCTCAACAAAAGCTTGCGGAATATTCTCCCATTCTAAAATAACGGCGATCAATGCATTGTTTGTGATTGGCAATAGATGGATCTACGACTTCGAATCTTTTTTTTTTTGAGATAGTCCCATAGATGCCCTATAGGATTCATGTCCGGACTGTTAGGTGGCCACTCTAATAATGGAATATCAACATCATTTAGGTAGCCAATAACCTGTCGAGCCACATGAGGACGAGCGTTGTCTTGCATCAATAAAAAATTAGGTCCAAGAAACGAAGCAAAAGGCATTACATGTTTCGAGAATAACGTTGTCTAACTAAGTAATAATGGACATTCAATTACGTACGTACGCGTACGGGGACCAACTTCGTACGAGCTTCAAAACAAATTCTCCTTCCCCCTCCAAAACATTTTGGAGCCACCACCAAAAAATGGTACTTTAGGAGAGATATTACAGCTGGCAAACCTTTTTCCTCGCCTTCGCCAGAAACGCTCACGAACATCTGGAGCTTTTAGGCTTAACTCTAGTCTCATCGAAGAAAGAACCCGTTTCCAATTCATCGATGGTCCAATTTTGATGCAATCTTTGCAAAATTCAATCACTGAACACTGTGTTCTCTGGTAAAGCAAGGATTTTTTGGCCGGTTTTCTGTTGCTCAATTCTGCTTCATGTAAACGTTCTTCTAACTGTTCAAAATGATATCTCGACATTTCGAACATCTGCTAGTTCATTTTTTAGCAAATTTCTGGTGACTCTCCTTATATCTGAGGGCACATTATCTCAAAAAACGATCATCAATTTGATTAATGTAACTTTTTTCGCCCTACCGCTGATCTTCGATGGTACGAGCCTGTTTCAGTATATCACCTCAACCTTGCGACTGATGCTGGAATGATCTCTCTAACAAGCCTGCAACCTATCGCATTGAATATCCTTCATCAAGGAGAATCGGATGCTCGCACTGCCTCCTCCATGACAATTTCTTTGGCGGTTCATTTTTTTATTTGATTTTTATGCAAATGAACTTCCAAACATGCATTGTGATGAAAACTATCACAATAAAAAAGCTTGCACTTTGGTTTAATCGGCACTTTTTATGAAAGGTTTAACTCTCTTTTACTCTAAAACGAAGTTTAATACAAATTATTGTTATAACAAGACTATTATTAGCTTACATAACAACTGTCACTGTCCAATAAGGTCCATAGGCAACTTGTCGTACATTAAGTTATCAAAAAATAAAGATCATTGAGAAAAATATGAGTGGGGCGTTAATTTTGTTTAAGGAGTTTATTATGGCAAAGAACGATTAAACGCATAATAGGTCAAAGGACGTTATTAATACAATTTATGTACAACAAATAGCTTTATTATAGAAGCACAAAATATTGCAACTTTAGGCCACATAAACAGACCTATATATTTGTTAGTACATTATCTGAGTACACTTATATAGCAAAAGGGACTAACAAAATTATAGTGCACGACAAAAATCAACATCATTAAATTTTTCTTTAATAAACAAATTCGCAAGTCGAAAAAACGAACAAATACGATTTAAAATTTTATTAAATGATGTTCGTTTGAAATGAGAAATAATACAGAGTTTATTTTATAAAGCGATACGTCATTTTCAACATTTACGAACTACAGTAGGCTCCCCCTTAACCTGTCCCGCATTAACCGGCCTTCGTATTAACCGGTCACTCACTCTTCCTATTGTTTTGCTTAGTTCTGGATAATCATCATCATTATCATCATCATCCAGCCTCAAGAGTCCACTGCTGAACATAGGCCTCTTCCTCATGTTTCCAACCCGTCTATCTTGCGCCGCTCTTATCGTTTTTATTGAGTCTTCTTAAATCGGACTAATAAAGACTTCTGGATAATGCTACAAATCATCCTGGAAAACCTAACACGCGAGACAGATGACATAAAAATTATCTTTCTTCCTCCTAATGTGACAAACTTGGTGCAACCGATGGATCAAGAGGTGATTGAAAGCTTGAAATGACGATACAGACGTAAATTACTGTATCATCAAAAAAATTAACTTAAAGAACGTAATTTACATGTTAGCTTCCGCCTTTACAGAATGCCTGCTTCTACCTTCGTTAATCTTGACGAAAGTATTGGACCAACATTGAGGAACTTGTCGAGTGTCAACATTCACACGAAGAAGATAATTCTACTACCATTCTTCAAGATCTCTAAACGTTTCCGTAAATGTCCAATTGCAGGCCCAAGATATTGAAGAATGGATGAGCTGTGAAAAACGAAATTTTTGACAGACGACGAAATAATTACACTACCAACACATGAAGAGCCCTATAAAAATTAGGAGACTGATGATGATGTAGTTGACCCCCAAAGGTTGACCGAAGCGAGGGCTGCAATGGAGGTGACATTGAAGTATATGAACAACAACCTCAGTCATCTTCAATAGACGTCTTGGTTTTAAAAATGGAGAGATATAGCTTTTAAAAATTCACTTAATGTCAAAAAATAGAAGAAAGTTACCGATTTTAACAGAAGACAGAAAAAGGAAAGTTTGAATCCGAAATTGGTCTTCATTAACTGAGACAGCAACAGCAGCGACAGTGCGGCTTGCAGCGCGCACTGTATTTGAATTATACTCTATCAAAGAAAATACTAGCACAGCTTTTCAGTTTCATACAGCTTCAACCCGAACGACGTTAACATCGATCACGGCATGACACTTTGTTAAAAATCTCGCCTATTTACTAATTCTTAGTAACATTCGAAAATACTACATTGGTTTACAATTGAAAATGAATAAAAATACTCAATTAAAATGGAAATAGACGAATGAGTATAATTATATACAAGAGTATAGATTTATATGGAGTACAAATCGTCTCTTAGGTAATAATGAAGAAACTTAAAAGAAGCTTCAATTTCGACAGGTTTGACGAAATTGTTGTAAATTAAAACTCCTCTGGAAAAATGCTTACACAATATATATATATATATATATATATATATATATATATATATATATATATATATATATATATGCATTTGCATAAATTTGAGTTACATTTTGTTTGTTATATAAAGACTTTTGTGTGTGGAAATAATTTTGGTAGTCCAAAATATCATGGCACATAACTCTAACACTTGTATTTATAATTAATGAAAATATAATGCTTTGAAATCCTACATAAAAAGCTCTCTAAATAAAATATACTTTAAAAATATCAACACAATATCGCTTCAATTAAAAATATAATATATTATTAAAATAAAATTGCACAAAATGTTTTTTGTTTCCTTAATTTTATGATATATTGTGCATGTTCATTGTGTTTTGAATTTTCTATTGAATGTTTTGTATAAAGATTATTATGTTACTTTTAAAACACATTAAAAATTATGAAACTAAGAAAATTCAGTCTACCATAATATTAAAAGTATTGATGTGATACAGGGCGTTTCAATTTTCAATTGTATCTTGTCAGTTACGGTACATAAAATTGATAAACATTCATTCTTTTGTTTTTAGCACAAGTTTAGTGCTTCTAAATATAACATTTTAATCTTAATTTCAAAATGTCACATCATCATCGTCCAGCCTTCTGTATCCAAAGATGAATATAGGATTCCCCTAATTTCGTCCATTTCTGTCTGTCTTGAGCATTCTGCAACCAAGCCTGAGCTTCCCAGCTATTCTTTTGATTCGCCTGTCCTTCGGGCAGGTTCTATTTGATGTTTGATATGCTAGATATGCTAGGATTCGATCAGTTTTTATTTTTTACTAAATCAGAGGTTTTATGTAAGTCAATAAATCAAAATTGGTTCACCTTGTGTTTCTTCTATCTTAATATGTTCGCTATCCCCTCTCCCTTTCAATTAACGCATTACATTTTGGCAATGTCGTTGTGTTTAATTTTTCTACATCGAATATTTTATTCGGTACATCCTGTGATATAACATATCGCACGGTCCTGTATGTTAAGTCGTTTAGGCAATAAGAAAAGAAGAATTGCAGGAAAGAAGAAGACAGTTGAAATTTGACCTTGACAGAAGATTTGACTGTTTAAGAAGTGACAGAGGACATTTGACAGTTGCGCCCATGTCTGAAGTGACAGACAACATTTTAGCAGATAAGACATAACTTTGACCGATTTGACAATTGACAGACAAAAAAGAACAACTGACAAACCGAAAACAAGAAGAATTGACAGTTGACAGACCAAAAAGAGGCGGCCATCTTGGAAATCTCTTAATAATAATGAATGATCAGAAACGCCCTGTATTTTGCTCACTTTAACCTTAAAAGCAGTCCTAAAAGCTAAATGGGAATGTACCTAATACGCTTTAATTATCTATCTATCTCTTATCAATGACAAGTGTTACTGACGTTATTTATTTATTTTCGAACTTAATGAATTCTACCTTTGTGATTTTCTTGGGATCGGGTGTTCCGGTTTCCAAAATTTCCACTTTCTGATAGGTGTTTGGCGAATTCAACCATCTGCTGCGATCGTTACCTTTTCTACCACCTTCAAGTTTTCTCCAGAGTCTACAAAAAGAATAACCATATTTAATTAAATATTGGAGAAAAAATTATAACAAAATAATAATAATATTATAAAAAAAGTCGAAAGAAAATGCAAAAAAGTATTTTTGAAGTGTTGTATATTTTAGGCAATTCCTAGCTGAGCGCTTTCGGCTTTACAAAGCCATCATCAGAGCTATGCTACAATAAAATGTTCTTATAAGTACTAGTTGGTAAAGATTATAATTTTTAACTTACGTCAATTTTTTAAATACCACTACAAAGGAGAGATCTCATTTCCTTAAATTTCAAAATTATGATTTTTTTTAGGTTGTATGAAATTCTTAAAACATATAAAAAACATATAAAAAAGCCGACACTGGACTTCACAAACACGTTAAAAAATTGAAAAAAATGTTTGTCATGTTCATTTCTTTGGATATTTGGATAGTTGGAAAGCGAAGTGAGAAAGGAATGATTATTAAATTTAATGTGATATCCAAAGTTTGATTTTTCTGGGTTATAGAGGTGTTCTTTGATTCTTTGATTCAGAGTTCTCATTGTTCTACCTACATAAGTCATATTACAGTCACCTGACTTATGTAGGTAGAACAATGAGAACTCTGAATCAAAGAATCAAAGAACACCTCAATAACCCAGAAAAATCAAACTTTGGATATCACATTAATTCAATAATCATTCCTTTTCTCCTTCTGAAAACAGTAAAATTTTACACAACATTCCCAATAAAAACTTTAGACTCATGAATCTCTTGGAAGATCTAGAGATATCCAAAGAAATGAAACTAAACCCTGATTGTTGCTTAAACACACAAATCAACCTCAATTGCAACTATAAACCTCTTTTTAAATTATTATGGGAGACTTTAGAGGAAGAAGGGTGACCTCATGCAATCTTATTATATATTTTTCATACTTTTATATTTTTAAACAAATTTTAAACTTTATTAGAAATTTACAACATTTTGTAATTCATTAGACAGTTATTCTTAATTGAAACATGAAAATACATTCTTAAAAAATTTTTTATGCAAATTTCTTACAATTTTCCATCAAGAGATACAATTCTCAATACACTTAAGTATCAGATAACGTAACATTAATACCATGTTTCTTCTTTATATTGTTGTTGAACAATTTGAGCCCTTGTTTCTTAAGGATGGCTGTCAGATTGAACATACATTGACCTTGAGCAATGACTTGAGTGAATTTACAAACTAATGTCATTCTGTATGATGTGATGAACACATAAAATTTAATTTAAAAACTTAATTTTTAGAAAGTCTTTGATGACTATTAGTAATTCCAAACTACTAAATAATTTTGTAAGAATTTAAAAAACAATCTCTATTTCCTATATATGACATTTGTCAACTGTCACTTTTGAAAAATCGTTTAAAAGGACCGACATTTGATTACATTAGTTCTATTCTGTCTACCTCCTCACATCAATCAATGGTCGGGTTCTTACACCCGTACCATGACAAACATTTTTTTCAATTTTTTAACGTGTTTTGTGAAGTCCAGTGTCGGCTTTTTATATGTTTTTTATATGTTTTAAGAATTTCAACAACTAAAAAAATCATAATTTTGAAATTTAAGGAAATGAGATCTCTCCTTTGTAGTGGTATTTAAAAAATTGACGTAAGTTAAAAATTATAATCTTTACCAATTAGTACTTATAAGAACATTTTATTGTAGCATAGCTCTGATGATGGCTTTGTAAAGCCGAAAGCGCTCAGCTAGGAATTGCCTAAAATATACACACTTCAAAAATACTTTTTTGCATTTTCTTTCGACTTGTCATAAGTGTGTACAAAAAAATATCAGTCTTTTGATTATAAAAAAAAAAAACCGCCAAAACATATTTATAACCAAAGAGTAGATGGAATGAGAAGGAGAGGATTTAAGGATCAGGTGGAGGAAGGATTAAGAATGTTGGGAGTACGAAACTGGAAAGCCAAGGCGAAGAATAGGAGAGAATGCAGACTTAGCCTTGAGCAGGCCAAGGCCCACCATCGGTTGTGGAGCCAATAATGATGATGATGATGAAATGCTATATTTGACGATGAATGCAAGAATGCAACAAAAGAAAAAAGAAGCCTACAGAAATATGCTTACCCGACGAACTATTACAACTGTAGAGAATTACTAAACAAAGAGAAGAAAAGAAAAGAGGATACACAAAAGAAAAAAACGAAACCACCTAAATGAGAAACTTAAATATATAGAAAACCTCAACAGAGAAAAATAATTCAGAGATGGAAAGATGTATTGAATATATGGGTCTAATACTTTAACCAGGCACTTAATATAGAGGAAGAAGAAAACCTGGAAGGCGAAAGAGATAAGGTAAGGGGTACAGACGAGAAGGAAGGGGAACCACCAACGATTCTTGAAGTTAAAGATGCAATTAAAACGCTATTTAGATTGTTAGTGTCATTTTAAATGGGAAATATTAATTTTTGAACACATGATACTTATGTATACACAAGATCTAAGGAGGACCAAACTCTCGAAATTCAATAAAAAATATATTTTAGCCGGAAATGGATGTATGCAGTTTTGTAAAAAAGCTCTTCATATATCGATGAGGAAGTATTAAGAGGACTACTTAAAAATATGGAAGTCTTTCAAACAGTTAAAAAACGCTGGAATATCTGGACGATATTCAAGACAACAGATAATATGTGTTAAAACTAATAATACAAAGAATGATATCTGGCAAAAGATCAATAAAGTACGAATAGTAACAATGGTCGTCAACATTCGACAACGAATCAGCACTCATAGAAAGAGATAAACATCAAAAAACCTGTTTCAAACTTGTATATGTAGTAAAAACAGCAATGCTCACCCTTGTCTATACAACTCCTCCTCTTCCAACAAATATCCAAGGGAGGAAACTGCTGGGGGTACCTCGACGTCGTTCTTTGGTTTCGGTGGTTCGCCTTTAACCAAGGGATGCCTGTAAATGTAGCCGGTCCTGAATCCAGCGTTGTCCAACATCCTCATCAAAGCTTCGAATTCTACACCGCCTACACGCCACTTTCTTTCTACTTTGCCCTCCAAAATAGAGGGTTGGTCCGGTCTGGGAGTACTTTCTGGTGCTTTGTGCGCTGCGTCGTATATTTTTTTCCTTACTTCGTCATTTATCAAAACTGAAATGGATCAAATACTATTAATTTCACAAGGGTTACCTTGTAAACGATATACAAATTTTATTACTTAAATAAAAATTAAAATTATTGATATTTCATAAAGACACGGGCATATAAATTTTCAAACATCCTGTATAAGACAAAATATGTATTTTAAGTTGTTCGAAGAATTGTTCATTAGGCCTCAGAGACAAGACTTTCAAATATTATCGATAAGAAATTTAAATAAGTCGGTTATTGTGGAATGGATTTACCCGGAATAAAAGTGTATATAGAAAGTGTTTAAACAATAGACAGGGATTTGCGGTGGTTTTTCTCCCCGAAAGATTATATCGGTAAAAGTTTATTAACAAAAGACATTGAATTGAGAAACAGGTATCGTTTGTAGCTATTAGTAAGAAATATTTGTAAAGCAGATAGATTTAGTTAAATAATTAAAGAATGTTGTTTTCTGGAATTACCCGAATGACGTTTTATAGAGAGAGTTGGTTGGTAACGATATACGTCACAGAGGTGGATGATTTTTATTGGTCAATGTTTGAATGCAAGGAGGTGGTGGTTTTGGCTATGAGATAGGAGAGAGGAAAAAAGTTAGTCAGTTTTCGTCGTCCAAGAAGGAAGGAGCTTTGTGATTTGTGTTTGTTTGAAGTCCCGAAGACGTAATTTACCGGGTGTGTTTATTTGCTGTGTAAAAGCTGACCAGTGTAGGAACGGGGTACAGAGAGATAGAAAAACCAAAGGGTATAAGAATATTAATATCAGACGAAGCCGGAAACATTTGAGTTATAAACAGGCGCGGAGATTGGCTCAAAAGGAGGCTGCATAGAATAACACGAGTTGTTGGGTTGCAGATACAAGGACAGATAGGAGAAAGGTGTACGTCATCTGGACCACAATAGGAGCAGAAGCAGAGAAAGGTTTTTTTTTTGGCGGTGGCCATAGAATTGCAACGGCAGAGAAAGAAAGGTCAGTCAATTTTCATTAGAGCAGGAGTGTGGTTTTCATTTATTAATTAAATAAATTGAATAAATAATAGAGACAGTTAATTTTGCGATCATTTAAAAAAAAAAAATTATAAAAGAGCTTAGTTATAACACATATTAAAAATCAATGTAAAATAACATTTGGGTCCATGATAGAAAACAACTTCTCATATATTTAAAGTTAGTATATTGCAAATATTACAGGATTGATTGTTATATAAAATTTCATTAAAATAAAGGACATCTCACATATAGTTCAGTTGAAATTCTATGTATTTTATTCAGGTCATATTACCTATCCCAATTAGGAAGCCAATTGGAAAATATTTTGAATCCACGATCAAAGGTAAATAGTACAAGTTAAATAGCCTGAGATTGTAATTAATTAATGCTGATTTATTGTGATTAATTGGAGATTAGATCATTTAATAAATATAGACAGGATTTTTTCTAAATAAGCAATATAATACAATTTAAATAGCATAATCACTATATATATATATATATATATATAATATATATATATATATATATAAATATATATATATATAATATATATATATATATAATAGGCTATATATTTGTCTAAAGCGTTAATATTTCGTTATCAAAACAAGTAAGTTTTTTGTGATTCTAAGCAATGTAATCAACACTACAGAATAAAAAAAAACTAAATAAAATACACATTTATGTTCTTACCTAAATTATCAATGCCTACAGGAAGAAGTTTGAGCTGTGATTCTGAGGCTAAAACGGTATTTCTGGCATTGAAGAAGGCTTCTTCAATGGTCGTTCCACAACATAATGCTCCTTGATTGGTCAGTAGAAGAACTTTATTGTTCGGTCCTAGGTTCCTTGCGATTTTGTCCTTTTCCTCGGGATCTAGATGGCCGCCTAAGTACATGTGTGTACTTACTTCACCTAAAAAGAAAAAAAATATTTGTTAAAAAGTTTTCATTATTTTAAGCATTTAAATATTTTATTTTCATTTTTATTTTCCGCGGAAAAATGTGTTAGTGAAACTAACAGGAGAGTTATGATTATCTATTATACGAGGACGGTCCGATAAGTAGTTATCTTAACATAGTCTCCTTTTAGCTCGATAAACTTGACCCAGCGATGCTCCAACTTCTTGGGACATTGTCTGAAAAATACGTTTTTCTCGAAGCCTGCAAAATAGGCCTCTGTGGTAGCGATGACCTCCTCATTCGACTCAAACTTCTGCCCAAAGAGTGAATTTTTTTAGTTTGGAAACGAAAAGATTTCGCACGGGGACAAATCTGGAAAATACGGTGGATGGGGCAGCAGTTCGTAGCCCAATTCTACCAATTTGGTCGTGGCGACGGTGCGGTGAGAACTGGTGCATTATTATGGTGGAAGAGGACTTTTTTTCGCCACACGTCGCCTTTTTTCTGCGATTCGACCCAATAATTCGGCATAGTAAGGCTCTTACCGTTTACCGGCAAGGTCTTTACCGTATTTACCGTTTTTTCCTTCTCCAGGTTAACTGAAAGCTCACGGCACCAGAGATACCAATGTATGGCATACGCGGATGATCTTGTACTTATAACAAGAACGAAAGACTCCAATGAAAATATGCATCAATAGTCATAAAAAAAAATAACAAAAAGAGGAAAATCAAAGAAGTAGCCATGCTCTTATTAAATTAAAAAAATAAAACAGAAAGACGGCATTAGAATGCACTAGTTTCGCTAAGTAGGAAATCTTAGGATTCCTAGTGTTGCAAAAATAAGTGTAGCAAACACATTAATAGAAAGTAGCAACATCTGGTTACAAATGTTACCAATACTGAAAGAAGACGTCAGCAATAAAAATATATCAACATCGACGAGTTAATAGCAGGTCAGAGACACATCATATACAAATTACTAGAACAATCACAGAAAGATCAGAAGTTCATCTCAAAACATGGCTAATGCCTATAAGATTTTCAGAATTTTTCGAAAACCGTGTTCGGGTTGGAAATCAAAAGGTCAAAACAAAAATTTTATTTTGATTAACAATCAATTGTGGTTTATTTCCGTATAAAATAATATCTACGACAATTTAACCAATAACATTTTACCTATGGTGTGAAAGTCTCCAAACTGATATATTTTCCCTTTTGTATATATTTGTATAAATACCCAAGCTAAGGTGTGAGGTAACCGTGCCAATGGCTGTATGACCACGGGGTTATATGTGGTCGTGAAGATCCCCCTGGGGAAACAGACAAACCCCATTGTATAAAGCCTTCCCCTGGTAATGCGGGGCTCTGCCAGGGGTGACCAACCTTTCCCTAGCTACTCTTGGGAGCAACATGAATGTACAAAAAAAAAAATCAAAACCGAATTCCGAGGCTAGACCAAAACGTTCACCTCAGCCTGGAGTCGGAGCTAGCAATGAACAGCAATGCTCATCTCAAATTTCAGCCTAAGTGGAGGATGGACAAGGACCATCTCAGGAAAATCGGTCAAAGCGCCGCAGAATTTGTGGCGCCGAGGCAAAACAAAGAAGGAGAAAGGACAGAGAGGAGATAGGAAATAGCACACGCAGAAGCAGTTCATCCCTCTCCAGCCCTTCCCAAAACAAAGGTGAAGGTACCCACATCAGTGGCTGCCACTTATGTGGGTACCAAAAAGTAGTACTGCGGAGGTTAACGGGGCAAAAATCCAGACATGGCAGTTGCGAAATGGTGCACCTTCCACTATGAGATAAAAAAGGATCCTAAAGGACTGTTCGTCTTCGGAATCGGAGACGACGATGACATGGCTGTCCTTGGGAAAAGAGCAATGAGGCTGAGCTACACGTTCACGTCATTGCCTCTAAAAGCAAGCAACAACAAAGAGTGAAGGATACCTCCTTGTAACCAGGAACCTCAGACACTCGGTACCCGACGAGGGTTGCTGAGTCTCCGAATTGATATGATGTTCTTTCCTTTTGTATATATTTTTTTGTATAAATAATATTATTGAACTGTTTGGAAATTCTTTTTTAGAGTGACCAGATTTTTTTTCGTGATAATGAACCGATCAGGACAGTTGTTTTGAACAGTATAAACCTCTATTCTATATGTTTCCTGCAGCGGATTTTTTGACTTAATTAGTTATTAACAAATTAAGGTTTATTTTTGCAAATACATACAGTTTTTTGCTTATAAGCAATTACAATAGCTTTTCAACTGTTGTTGAAAACTTATTGTAAGTTTTGTCTTATTGTCCTAAGTTGTCTTAGGACAATTTGGGACGAAGTTAGTCCTTTGTTTTTAATTGACAACAGCTTTGTTTTATAACAATTAAGAGATCCAATTAGCGTCATTTGAAACAAACATACTTTTAATGAACAAAATTCGAAAAAGATCGCCTTTTAATGGAATCGTCCACAAAGCTTTCAAAATGTAGTCCTAAAAATAGTCCGGCTTCGAAACTCGCGAGAGCTGCGGATGGGGTAGGAGCTGTTAAATGTATCTCTGGTTATTGTCTATGGATTTTGACGTTTCTTTTTTTAATTTGTATGTACTTTTTGCGTACATTACGTATATGCATTACTTAAATAAATCATCTAATTTTTTTTATTTTTTTTATTATTTGAGGTAATTTTTATTGTAAAACATAAATATTGTATATTTAATATATACTTCTTCAATAAATGTTGTAAATAATTTATTTATAATTGATTTTATGGAAAAAAAATCAACAAGGCAAATAAAAAAAAGTGACTAACTTCGTCCCAAATTGTTCTAAGACATTTTTTTCTTTTTTAAATTTGTAGAAAAATGTGAGCTACCTAAATATGAAAAAAATAGTTTTCCTTTAGGCAACAGTTAAAACGCTATTGTAATTTTTTATAAGCAAAAATTGATATGTTTTTTTTTAATTTTAAATAATTTTTCTTTATTTATTTTTAACAAATTTGATAGAATAATCCTTCTTCTTTCATATTGCTATCCGTAGAATTGTCTAATTGTCCTACTCTTCCAACTAAATTATTTTGTTTATGATCTAAATTGAAACTGTCTGACTAAAAGATAATAGTAAAAGTAGCAGATTTCCTTACCTATGACAACAGACTCCTGGCTCAAAGGCATCAGTCCTTGTTTTAACGAAGATACAGCTACTACGGAAGGAGTGTGAACGTGAATGATGCATTTGATGTCTGGTCTAGCGGAATGTACTGCTGCGTGGAGTGAATATGCGGTAATGTTGACGGAGAAGTTGGTTGTGCCTTGTTCGAGGACCGCGCCCTGCATGTCTACCTTAATCAGACTGGAAGCTGTCACTTCGTGGAAGAGCATTCCGTAAGGGTTGACCAAGAATTGTTCGTCGTCTTGGTTCAACCTAGAAACAATAAAATAATTAATATAAAGATATTTTCAAGTAGATTTTAGTATATAGTAAGAAATTATGTATAGTTTTATTTTGAAAGTTTACCTCTACTTTTGACAATAATTTGCCAACGTTAAGAAATGTGTAAATATAAATGACAACAGTTTGTGAGCATAAAAGACATAGCTAGTTTCAAAAAAGGCTTTCCCGAACACCAGACACCTGCCTACAAACCCCAGAGCAAATTAAGACGGGGACAAAGCAACATCTATGTTCCAGAAGCCCTTAGAATCCGTTAAGTATTTACTCCACTTATCAGTTCGCAGTCAAGGCACTTATCTGCTGTAGTCAAGGCCGCAGAAGTTTTAACTTTGAGTATCAATAAAACTCTATTGAGTGTACCTCGAGAGAGTTATTTCTGCTACGTAAATAATTGCAAGTTATTGCAATACAGTTAAAAACCTTTGAAAACTTTTATTGTATGCGTAATGAAAGTTTCAAATATACCACCTTCTTTTGCACGACCTTCTGAATAACCTAGAATACTATAAAATTCTTGTCTTACATTTGCAAGCTCTTGTGGTGTAATCGTAACATGCATTTCGTATTTTGTTGTCAACATTTTTAAATCAACTAGATTGTGTGCTAGATGGTGGAATTAATATATTCCCAAAAAAGAAATCCATGGGAGTCAAATCGGGAGACCTCGCAGGCCCTTAATTGACTTTTTTCGCTTATAACGTGGTTACATTACACATACACATTTTTATTACATTGGCGTCCTATGCCCCCATTCACACACTTTTTGTTACAGGCTGGTCGGAAAACAGCCTTTATTTTTCCAATTATATAAAAGCTACGCTGAAATTACCACGATTATTGATATCTAAGACATCTTTTCAAGTGATTTTCTTCCAATTTGTTCATGAAAAAATAATTTTAAAGCATTTAAAATCCATTTATATTTGTCGGTCTTTGTTAAGATATCCGTAACTCTCGCGGAATTGTTTATGAGGTGAATACACTGGATTCAGTGCGTTTTGATCACACTGTAAACATATTTTATTGAGTAATGTCCTGTCAGTTTATTCTGCTACCAAAATATGCGCGAAGAAAGATATAATTAAAGTACAGTCACGTGCTTTTGTTTTCCTGTATAGTTACAAGGCTTATTAATAGACTGAAATATTAAACGATTCGTCAGCGGTAGTGACTCCGGAGGAATTCGTAGTTATCTTTCTAACTAACAAACCACGAATACGTAAGGTACTTCTATTTTTGGAAAAATACGAAAAAATACGCATTGTAATGAGTGATAAGATATTTAAATTTCTTTTCTAGTATTAAAATCAGTACCAAAAACGGATTTAAACATGGTGTTTTTTGTCACTGGTGTATATTATTACAATCGAGCCTGACTTTGACCAATACGCAATTTTATTCTAAGTTGAGATTAAGAAAAGATGTTTTAAGATTTATTCAATAGTGTCACAGTATTTCATTGCATCCATATTTAAAGATTTTTTTAAAAAGTTTATTTTAAGTTAAGGATGAGGATTTTGATTCAGGTCTATGCGCCTACCTCAACTGCTGATGATGATACAACTGAATCTTTTTTCAACGAGCTGGAATCATATCTGCAAAATATCCCAAATAAAAGAAATCGCTATCATCATGGGTGATTTAAACTCAAAAATCGGTGTTACTATGGCTGACGAACATATACGAAATATTGTGGGTAGATATGGAATAGGTGAACGCAATTCAAGAGGAGACCGCCTTATCCAGTTCTGCGTTGACAATGACTTGACAATAATGAACTCTATGTATAGGCACCACCCCAGAAGATTGTACACTTGGATCTCACCTAACGGACGACACCGAAATCAGATCGATTACATAATGATTAAACATCGCTGGAAAACATCTATTAGCCAATGTAAAACACGACCTAGCGCTGACTGCGGCTCTGACCACCAACTTCTTGTTGCAACGCTAAAGCAAAAATTCAAGGCATGTGCTAGGATCCGAAACAAGAGGATATCAAAAATAAAAGATACACAACAATTTAAAATCCAATGTAATGAAAGATTCGAAAATATTTTACCAACTATCGTCACTCATGATTCCGAAAAGATTTGGTTATCTTTTAAAAATACCTTGATACAGACCTTGACTGACTGCGAGGCACAGTCTAATGCCGTCTCAACCGGACCAAAAAAAGTGTGGATGTCTGCAGATACTTTTGACCTCGTTGAAGAACGTAGAAAACTTAAAATTGCTGGAATCGAGAACCCTCTCAGGAATTCCCAGTACCGACAGCTATCTAGAGCTATTCAGGCTGCTTGTAGACGAGACAAAAACAAGCATATAGAGAAAATCTGCAGAGAAATTCAACTACACGCCGACACAAATAACACCAAAGAACTCTTTGATAAAGTCAGACAACTCACACGTAAATTCAAGCAGAAATCTTGGTCTATCAAAGATGATGAAGGTAATGTACAGACGGATTTGGACAAGGTTATTGATGTTTGGAGGGCGTATTGTAAGTCTTTATACGCCAATACGGACCAGATGCCAGCGGACGCCCCGTTTGTACCTGACTGCCAGACCTCCACTTTCCATTCTCCTTCAACAGAGACACACCACACTAGTTTTGAGTCTGAACCTGACATACTTTTTTCCGAGGTGGAATTCGCTTTAAAAAGACTTAAGTTAAACAAAGCAGCAGGATATGATCTCATTACTGCAGACGTCTTGAAGCATCTTCCGGAATGTGGAGTGAAAATATTACATCGATTGTGCAATGAAATATGGCACACAGGCGTCTGGCCTGAGGATTGGAGAAAGACCATAATCATACCTCTTCATAAGAAAGGTTCAACAAATAATTGTAACAACTACAGGCTATTAGCTCTAATATCACACGCCAGTAAGGTGATCCTCTACATACTGCAACGGCGTCTAGAAAACTTCATAAGTTGGCAAATAGCACCTGAGCAGGCTGGATTTGTAAAGGGCAGAGGTACTAGAGAACAAATCCTTAATGTACGAAACATCATAGAAAAAGCCAGAGAATACCAGATCCCGATATTTATATGTTTCGTCGATTATACAAAGGCCTTTGATAATGTTAGATGGGACAAACTATGGAACATATTGACGACAATGGGTGTACCTAAACACTTGACTCACCTTATTAGCAAACTGTATCAAGATAACCTGGCATATATTCGAATGGACGGATATCTGTCTGACAAATGCACTTTGGAGAAGGGAGTACGCCAAGGATGCGTTTTATCTCCCTTATTATTTAACATCTATTCGGAGTTCATAATGCGCAGAGTTTTGGATGGTTGGGAGGGAGGAGTAAACCTAGGTGGTGTTAAGATATCTAACTTGCGTTTCGCAGACGACACTACACTTCTAGCCTCTACTCCAGAAGAAATTATTAAATTATTAAAAAAACTCGAGGTAGAAAGTGCTAAATTTGGACTCATGGTTAACTACAACAAAACCAAAATCATGGTTATTGATCGCCAACAACAGTTTCCTGAAACCCAAACTATTGCGGGATGCGAGGTAGTCTCATCTATGATATATCTTGGAGCTCTAGTTAACAACACAGGCAGTTGTGAATCCGAAATTAGAAGACGCATTCAACTAGCAAGAGCAGCAATGAGTGAACTAAACGGGGTCTGGCGTGATCGTCACATTACTATGACAAACAAAAAGAGACTCGTTTCAACTCTGGTCTTTTCCATATTTTACTATGCATGCGAGACATGGACAGTCAAAGAATCAGATCGACGACGTATAGACGCCTTTGAAATGTGGACATGGAGACGCCTGCTTCGAATTCCATGGACGGCTCGCCGTACAAATATCTCGGTTCTGGATGAAATTAAACCGGATCAGCGTCTCTCCAGTACCGTTTACTCTAGAATTTTAAAGTTCTTTGGCCATATCCATCGAAGTGATCACAAAATGGAGCGGTTGGTGGTCCAAGGAAGGCCTCAGACTCAACGCCAACGCGGAAGATCTCCACAGCGATGGGCGGACATTACTAAAAAGCTTCTCAATAAACAGTAGCTGTTTATTGAGAACTGTCCGAGCTGCTGAAGCCAATTATAAACCACAACACATCTACAAGATGTTAATGACTGTGATGATGATGATGATGATGAAGGATGAGGAAATGTGCTGACACAGAGTTGTTAAAAAAGTCTGGAAAACCAACAACGACATATTATATGGAAACACAGGGAAAATGATACGTTTTCGTAATTGTAATTTTTTTCTTTAAAAAAACTGTTTCAAAATAACTTCTTATGTATACTGTTATTTTGCGTAAATATATAATTTTTCTGGAAAAAATATTATTCTTTCTTTGGTTACTTTTTAAGACTGGAGAAGACAAGAACGTGTCACTAAAGCTCTATTTTTCTTTTAATCCGACCACGTAATCCCTCAGGAAATTGAGAAAAAGTTCGACATCGTCACGGCGCATCCATCATTCTACGAAATTACTCGAAAAGGCAGGAAAATTCGCTGGAAACGAACAGTCACATAGATCAATCAATGACAAAGCGTAGGTTTCTCAAAATCAATTACCCGAAACGAAAACCGGAGAAAATTGACGACTTATTTAATTATAAGTTACTTTTGGTAACACAAAAAAAAACAAATACAATTGAAGGAATTTGAAGGATATAAATAATTCACATATTTTATCAAAAAATCGCTTGTCAGCTATAACTTAATGACATCATATAATATTTTTTATGGATAAAGTAGAATCCTTTAAAATCGTTCGTCAGCTACCGCATACATAACTGTTTTGCACACAGAAGTGCAATTGAAGCGATTCGCGTCAATTTTTGTCGAAAAATTGGTGGTTCAACAAAGGAATGTCAAAAAACGTTTATAGTGTTGTTGGTGGCGATGAATCCGTTCTCATAGTGTGTCAAAGGAAATGGTCGAAACTTTTGTGTCAAAATCTGGTCATGTGGCTTGCTTTAGAAGATAGATGAACGGTTACTTCTGATTGGTGTATAACCGTTTGTTTACCAGAAGTTATCGCAAAACTAAGACGAAGCAACACACAACGGCGAATCATCCTACATCAGAACAATGGAAGTGCTCACACTGCCCAAAAGACAATAGTGTTTTTGGAGCTTCAAAACATCCTTGTAGAATATTTTAATTACTTTGCTGTAAAGCTATTGTGATTACTTAGTAAATTGGCCGAAAGATGCTGGTTGTGAAAAATCCAATTAGAAGGATAAAATTTTTCAAATATTTTGGCATTACAAATGTAGAATAAAATAAAATGTTGATAAAATACTGATTACTGATATACTCATAATAATATACTGATTTTATATTTTGATCTTAAGAGATTATAAAAATTAATTATGATAGACAAACTGTGTTTTATCTTTTTGGTTTGAATGCAGTAAGAGAAGGAAAAGAAAAGAGTTAAAGATAAAGGAAATCACATAGCTACGTTAAAATGTCAATTGGCATGATACTTAATCAAAGAGAAGACGAAAGATGAAGCAAAAAGGTGACTATTCAAGGTAACTTTGTCATGAGTGTCAAAAACTGAATACTAAGGAATATAGTCAACCTTCTATATCAATTGGGAACTTCATATTGAAACCATTAAGGAATAGAAATTAACAAAATTGCCATAAAGGAATAGTAACAATGGGACCTGCTAACAAGCATGGATGATTGGGTTTTACCAACAATAGAAGAAGTAAACGACAAGTAGGCTAGGAACCAGAGTTGGGTGTTGAGTATGCACTTTTATGCCACCTCGGTATTGTTATGGATCAGTTTATCGATCAGAAATAGAATAAAGAGTTTTTTATTATTTTAATATACCGCGGGCATATAAGTTAAAATACAACCCTGTACTTATTTGTAATAGTTAGAATAAGAGAAAACATTGTTCCGTGACGGGACCCTAACGAGTTTTTCCGTGAAAGACTGAGTGAATAGTGAAAGGACAATGGAACCCGTATAATTATAGATTTAGGAATAAACTTTTAATTGTATTTTGCGGTGGGCATTTTTCGAAAGTAAATAAGAATTAGATATAGAGATAACAAGAATTTGGAAACTTATTTCTGTTGAAAAAAGGCAAAATTGTTAATGGTTTCTGAAAAGTAATTTGAGTGAAAGTAATTTATTTGTTTTAAAATATCATGTTGGAAAGTTTTCTAAATCGAAAATATGTGGGAAAAATGAATGCTTATGATTGGTTAAAAAAGAATGGTGGGAATGAGAGAGTTGAGAAGGTTGTCTGGGAGAGATTGAAAGATTATTATGTTACCGGCAGACCAGAAGAGAAGACGTGTTTTCGTGTAGTCAATCTGAGTACCAGTGTTTTCGTTTGTTAGTGAAAAAGGTGGAAGCTGAGAGCAGATCAAAATCGAGAAGATTAATACCTCTTTTGAGTCTGCATAGTCCACGAGATATAATTGAGAAAGAAAGGAGAATTTGTGAATAAAGAGTACCGGTCAAAAGAGGCTTGGGCTTGTGTTTTCGGAGGTAGTTTGCTGGTATGCGGTTTGGATCGATGCTGAGAACGGGAAAGATTTGATGGTAGCCGGACATAATCAATCAAGGAAGGAACTGTGGTTTGATCGAGAAGAGACATCATTGGTGTAAAAATAAAGGTCAGTCAAATAATTTGAATGAAAGAAAATTTTAAGATATTCTAAAGATAAAATCAAATATAAGCATACGAACTAAGATTCCAAGTTTCAAAGAGTTATTTTTTTTTGTGAATAAATTATATTTTTATATGGTCATTTTTTTAGTAGATATTATTATAAAACAGATCAATAGATAGTTTGTAATTAAAATTAAATTTAGAGTATAGGAGTTTGTTGGGAAAGATAATTGCCCACAAAAGTTATTTATTAATATTCATCGTATTGCTTATTGAAAATAAATAATAATTTGTGTGCATATTTATGTTGTTTTAATGTTAGTTCCGTTTCCTGTTCTATCCCGATTATGAGCAACTAGAGATACTGAACCCACTAGAAGAGATATATAAAGTAAACTGATTAAAGTAATAATTAACAAAAAAAAGGCACCCTGAGAATTTTTAATAGTAATTGAATTGTATGGCTCTGCATAAATTAGTGAATTAATTAATTAAATAATTGGATCAATTAAATTAGTGTTAATTAATAATAAAACATCATAAAGCAGATCACAACAGTATATTGACGTTTTTTATGTTTTAGCTTAGTAAATGCTATCGAGTTAATGTGTATACCTATGTAGCTAGACATAACAAAATTTTAAATGTTCTTTTAAGAAGCCGTCATTATCAATTATAAGTAGAGAAATCTAGAACCCAATAACAGATAGCTTACCTGGCAGTTATAAGTGTACTTGAGCCGTAGGCCCAGCCGTACAAGTCGATCAACCTGTAGAGGCAGGCCAATTTACATCTAAGAATCTTTTCGCCCTTGCCATATCCCATCGACTCGATTCCTCTAATATCGTTAACGGGAATCACACAGCTCGAACTCTTGAAGACGTTTCCGCCTTGCCTGTTGACTCCCACCATGTCCGAAATTTGTTGGAGAAGTCCACTCGGTCCGGATCCTAAAGAATACATAATAATTTACTATTTATAGCAAAAAATATTACAACTGTCTATTGGCGTCTATTTATTTTTGTATACCGTATACTCCCCCTATAACGAATACGGTTATTACGAGGTTTCGCTTATAACGAGGTACATTAGATGTCCCGTGAAATTTCTATTGAACCGTAACCCTATATAGCGAGGCAAATTTGGTTAATAACGAGAAAAAATAAGATCGAAAAACGTTTTTTTACGTTATAGCTATACCCTTTTTAACTGCCGCCCGCAATAAACTTCTTACAATTTATGATTCTTACTCGGAAATTTACAATTTATGATTCACAAGTGTCATCTTCATGGGTTTGACCATTCGCACCTAATAATATAGGTCCTAATAGACAAGATATGGAAAGTGTTTTAAACATTGTCAGAAACTTTATCCAAAGACCAAATGCAAATGAAGAAGCATAAAACTGTTTCACATCTTTAGAAAATATGATAGATAGATTACTGGACAATTTAAAGCAGTCAAAAATGACAGACTTCTTCCAATTTCAGAAGCAATAGTTTATGTTATATTATAAACAACTCTTTTTTTGTTTTATTGTATTTCATTGACAATAAAAGTAAACAACTTTTTTTCAAAAACGCCATTCAAACAATATTTAGCATCTTATATTGCTGCGAATGGCTTCACTATAGGAAATTAATATTTTAGAAAACTACATATTCATATGTATGCACAATATTTTGTTGTTTGATATAACGAGATCGGCTTATAACGAGGTAATTAGTCTGCCATTTCAGTTCTCGTTATAGAGGGTGTCTACTGTATTAGACTTTTGGTTTGTTCTTGTCCAATGGATTAATTTGTAAATTAAGAATAAAAATGGCGGATAACTGGTGAGTAAGAGCTGAACTACAACCTTTACGTAAGTGTCCTGCAGACGATGTGATAGACGAAAAGAAGAAGACTTAACAGCCGCCGTATTAGATTGGTGAAGATGTTGATAGCCGCCGCTAGACATATATATTAACGTACACTGACCAGTCTGTAGGAAGGAAAGGAAGGTAGGAAATCCTTCTGACACTTCTGCTTTACAGCCTCGACTTGTCCCGGAGAGCGGCAGCATGCAGATTCACGTTTATCCAACAATAAATAAGACCCTTGAAGAGGCACAGAGCCAAAACAAGGTTAAAACGTTGGTCATAACCATCATCAACTAGTCTGTAGAGATAACTGACGACACCATCTTTACTGTCGTTGTTATTTGTGTCTCTATCTTACATCAACTAAGTAGAGCAGCATCTCTTTTTGTTGGGGAGAGAGCGAGTGGGAAGTTTCAATGCATTAGAGAGAGACAGATCGAACACCTGCAAAAGATGTCGCCTCTGCTAGTTACTGGCATGCTCAGTCTATGTTAATATATACGTCTATGCTGCACACGTGCCATACCTGGCTACAATCATCAAAGGATGTCGACAAAAAATCAAAGGATACCGCTTTTCCCACGATCGGCAAAATTTTCCCATGCCCAACCGCCCCAAGTTTGCTACAGAATGGGCATTAAGACAGTATAGAGTAGGAGAAAAAAATTACTAGTGAAAAACAAATGGCCTGTCTAACGGGGAATAAATTGAATTCTTCGCTTACCATCTTTTAATTGTGAATCTAAGATCCTCTCCAGTTCTTCCCTGAATAGCTTACTGTTCATTATCATCTCTACTCGTTTCCTTCGTTCCATTTCTCTCACATCGGCGTCTATGTCTACTGGTCTCATTTTGGCCTTGTCATCGTCTTCCAAGTCGGAAATGCCGTTGGTTTGGGGCGGTTGCTCCGCCTGACTCGTATCCGTCATATTATGAGATCTGTAAGAAGAAAAAATGTAAAATTAATATAAATAGGCAATCATTATACAGTAAAAATTACATATACATGAGTGCCGTGAGGTTCTATACTAGAACACATACTGTATATCATTGACAGTAATAATATACATATTTGTTGTTAACAGTTAATAACAGTTTGTTGTTTTATACCATGCGGAGATATTGCGACTTTTATAAATTTGAATTTATAAATTTAGTTTTTGATACAGTAAAATTGCTTCGCTTTTAAACCCTTTATCTTTGGCGCATCATGGACGGCTCATTTTTAAGAAGAGAATCTGTTTAATTTTTTTTAAACTTGAACTCTACATCTTTTAAATGGTTCTTTTTAAATTTTTTAACATGGTTTAACATTTACATTGATCTTTTCTATAGTGTGAGATATGGCGTGTTGTTGATTGAACGGGTCTAAACCAAAACCACTTTGAAGCTGTTCAAGAAGGTCCTTCGAATATGTCGTTAAACGATCATATAGAGCACAAGGAAATAAGAACTTACATTTAGAAGACAATCAGAAGACAAATTAGCGCCAATAGGAGATCTTATTATTAAATGGAATGAAAATCAGAAAAATGTTTCTCTCATTCGCAATACGTAACCGTGGACGAAAAGTTGGAGGCGTTTAGAGACGTTTCAGACAGTACATACCAAGCAAACCTAATAGATACGGTATAAAAATATATGCACCGTCTGATGCGAAGTTATTTTGTAACAGTAACATGGAAGTATACGTCGGCAAAAATCAAGTGGGTGGTCCAAACGATCTAGACACTAGTATCAAGGCAGTGGCGGAACGGACCTGTCAACATTTCTACGGATCTAAGAGAAATATTACCACCGACAATTGGTACACCAGCGTTGATCTTGGTATAAGCTTGAAGGAAAATTAGGAAGTAAATAAAAGAAGAGAAATTCCTGCATATTTCTCTAACAATCTTCTTCTTAAGGTTCCATCTTCTAACGAAGGTTGGATATCAACATGGCAATTCTTATTTTACTTACAGCAGCTCTAAATAGTTGGCTAGAGCTCAGACTAAACCATTCCCTTATATTTCGTAGCCAGGAGGTTCGTCTTCTTCCTACATCTCTTTTACCTTTTATTTTGCCCTCTATAATCAAACGTAGTAGCCCATAACGAGGACCTCTTAATATATGACCGAAATATTCAAGTTTCCGCCCCTTAATTGTCTGTACAATTTCTTCCCTCTTATTAACCCTATCAAGGACTTCAATATTGGACTCTAACAATCGAGGACGACCAATTGGCTTTAGTACATTTGGGTTTGGTTCAAGAGGAAAACTAGTGTCATATAAACAAAAAAAAAACAAAAACGTTCTGTTATATTCCATTAAGCACCATGAGGACGACGTTGATCCTGTAACTGGACAACCGCAATCTATGATACACACAAACGGATTTAAATCCTTTTAAACGTTACATTAATAAATTCCTTTGTTATTTACAATTTTAACATTTCAAATTCCACAAAGACCCGACGAGAAGTTTTGACAAATCTAGCATTCAGCCGTATGTACAACAACCAGAAAAATCGAAGCCAAAATGTCTATATATCCAATATAATAAGGATTCACTAAAGAAGATCTGTCATTTGGATGAAGATGTGCCAGCTCAAAGAATTCCGGGAGCAATTGGGAGGTCTGGTGACTGTGGATGGAAAAAGAAACGAAAAACGAAATATTTTTGTTCGATTTGTAAAAAGTATCTTTGTTTGGAACATGTAAATCCAATTTGCAATAACTGTAACAATATTCCGGCTTAATTTTATTACGTTTTTTTTGCCATCTCTTATATTTTTTATAAGTCTTAGTGAAATGTTTCTTTTTTGTTGAAGATAGTTCTTGAGGACTGATATGTTATTTTCCAAATTTAAATTAATTGTAATTTGTTTAGTAAAAAAGAGAATAAATCAAACTATTACAAAAATTGTGGACTATTTTTTGTACTACGTAAATAAACAATTTAAATAAACAAAATATGTCAATAATAATAAATATTGTTAAAAAAATATATTAACAATAGATTATTTTATTGAAATTTAAACAAAATGCATCCAGAGAACGATTTTTATGACCGGTATTCACCGTGTGCGACTACTGATAAACAAAATTAAACTGCGTCTAAGGGTTAAAAGAAAAACATGAAAGAAACGTAAATTCATGCCAAAACAACTACTATAAAACTTATTATTTGAAAAGTAAAGCAAAACAAATAATTAAAAGAATAACCCAAAAAATTAATGCAACCTAACAATAATTACCAAATCGTCAAGTCAAATCAAGGAACACTCACTTCACAAAAGACTAACAAAAACCTATTATCTAAAAAGGCACTATCGCATTCTCTGACCTATGCCACACAACAATCAAAATGGTTCGAATACTCAAAAGGTGAGTCAGGCCCAAGAGATACCATAACAGGTTTTTAAGTACATACATTACGTCGTTTCGTTATCATATCACAATGATGTTGATTATTTCCCACAGCTCGTTTTAGTAGCATTACTGGGCTTGTTTATTTTAATAAATATAATGAATACCTTCGTATAGACGTAGTGGTATTTATCTGTGGAAATTGATTAGATAATATGGTAACAATTTAAGGGTAAATAACCACAGACGATAAGACAACTTTGTAAATATTTAACAGTGTTGTGATTTTAAATTAACTTTGTTGGACAAAAAAGTTGGTATTTCGTTACTTCTAAAAGGTGTACCGAACTTATAAACAGCAAAAAATAAATATATTCATCAAAAGAACATTTATTATCGTTTTTTTTTTAACAGTCATGTGATCAGAAAGTAGTTCTCTCTGAACACACAATAATTATAAGTATATGCAACAAGGATCGCTACTGGCATCATTTCTATTTAGCCTATAATATATATTGCATTTAATAATGACGTTGACAGTGCTTATTTATTTCGGTGAACAATGCTGGATGTAAGGCATTCTTGAAGTTGATCAGAAAATTCAGGATCTTCTCAATGATAAACCTTAAAGCACCCAACAAACGGAGAGAGACAAAGAGGATGGAACTAGGAAAGAAGGACGACATTCTCTCCCGAAGGCAAAAAAGTATGCCTTCTATTCCACAAGAAATATGCTTCCGTACATATACAGCTTCCATAAGTGCGACAATTAGAGAACCATCTCCCTTATCTTACATGTCAGCAAAATAATTCTATACATAATCAATGAGACTAAAAACTTTCCTATGAAGAGAAATACCCCAAGTGAAAACTGGATTCACCAAAGGTAGGTGCTCAAGAAAACCTTCTAAACATAACGACAAATAATAGAAAAATATAGGGAATTCATATTCCACTATTGACTATACACTTGTTTTATAGATTATCACAAAGGGTTCGACATTTACAAAATGGAAACACTTGTATCCTGTATTCTGTACTGGATGTATCCTGTTTCCACAATTATTTAATATATATGAGGAGCATGTTATGAAAGGATAGGAAAAGAGCATCTCAATAAATGATCGAAAACTAAACAACCTACGTTTTTTAGATGAAACACCCCTTCTTGCAAACAGTCAAGAAGATTTCGTTGATCTCGTACGAATGGTTGAAAACGAAAGTGGTAGTGGATCGTGGTAGTGAATTACCTCAGGGGGATCAGGAATTACAGAAAAAAATACAGAGAAAAAAGTGTTTTAAGACAATGGATCAAGAGCGATATTACAATGGCAAAATTTCATGATTTGGGCTTCGAATTGCATTCCCATCCAGCTTATTTTCCTGATTTGAGTCCAGAACATCTGGTAACTAAAAATTAAGAAAACCATACATATCTCAAATTAGTGTATGCCCCAAATGAAGATGCAGATCCAGAAAGTAAAGACGATTTCTACAAAAAAATGAATGAAATACTCTCCTGAAGTTAAAGAAAACTGTGAAATCTTTATACTCGGAGATTTAAACGGCAGAGTAGGAAGAGAAGAAAATAGCAGAGTCGTAAGGAAGATATGGGGAACAAATAACCAATGACAACGGAATGCGTCTTAGAGATTTTTGTGAAACAATGTCTCTCAAAAATTATGAATGGATTTTTTCAACATAGAGACATCCACAAATTTACACGGATACAACCTACTAGGAATCTGTGCTCGATAATCGATTATGTAATCCAACGTCAAACTTCCCAGCTGAAAATAACTGACGCAAGGGTATACGGTGGATCAGAATGTGGATCCGACCATCTTTTACTTATGGCTAGACTTCGGCAAATATGCATATTGCATATTTTGCATATTGTGCATATTTTATGCAAATATTTCATATTTTGGCATATTTGTATAAAGTGCATAAAAGTTCAGATTTTTATACTGTATTTGAAAATTTTTAAACATACCGATTTATTTCAATTCTTGTATAAAATTTTGTAGTCATTTTAATCAAGAAATGATCTAAGTACGTAATCTCTACAGGTACAAAACATTTACAATTTCAAAGAAGATCAATTTAAGTAGCCCCCAACATTCTTAGAAAGTCTCGGTCACTGAGGCATTCAGTTATTGGATAATCGCTAAGGGTTCGCTCATTTGCATTTTATGATCTAATCCCCAAATCTATCTACAATTTATTGTATCTTAACAGCAGGTAAACGGCTAATAGTTTTGTTCCTAATTTAGGGATTTTCCAAAATCTCCCAGTTTATTGAATTAGGTACCTAAACATTTCTAATTTGATGCTCAGATTTGTAAATCATTTTTGTTTTAATATTCAAAGCGTAAACACTCGTTGTGCGTAACAAAAAGGAAGATTGTGATTTTATAATGCCTAAAACAACCAGTGCTTCAACTTGGATTAAACCTTATAAAGAGCTGTCTATGGATATGGGAAAAATCTACTGTTCAGTCTGTGGCAAAATTGTAAGTATCTAATATTTTCTATTAAATATCTAATATTTCATACATACAGGGTGTTTCCAAAT